TGGCAAATAACTGCGGCACGTCCTTACGTCTTCCTTCTATATATTCAATGAGTGGTAACAGCTCGGGGTCCCTGCGCTGCTCCCATGCAATAGTGGCCGTGTCGACAACTCCCAAGAAAGCCGCGTCGATGTTTTCGTCATCACGAGGGACAGTATCCACTGGCGACCGTGAGAGACAGTCGGCGTCGGTGTGCCGCTTCCCAGATTTATAGACGATGGTGATGTCGAACTCTTGAAGCATTATGCTCCAGCGCGCCAAACGGCCAGATGGATCTTTAAGGTTGGTGAGCCAGCACAAAGAGTGATGGTCGCTAAACACCTTCAAGGAGTGGCCGTACAAATATGGGCGAAATATAATGACCGCCCACACCACGGCGAGACATTCCTTCTCGGTAGACGAGTAGTTCTCCTCCGTGCGAGAGAGTTCTGCTGGCGTAGGCTATTACTCTTTCACAGCCGTCTTGCCACTGCACCAGAACGGCACCCAGACCTACATTGCTGGTGTCAGTGTGAAGTGCTGTAGGGGCTTCCTAGTCGAAGTGCGCGAGAACTCGAGGTGTTTGCAGGCGTTTTCGTAGTTCATTGAACGCCATTTGCTGTTGTTCATCCCAAAAAAAGGGGACGTCCTCACGTTTGAGGCGTGTAAATGGCGCCGCAATAGACGAAACGTCCCCGATAAATCGCCGGTAATAGGCGCACAACCCTAAGAAGCGTCTCACGGCCTTTTTGTCGTGTGGTGCAGGAAATTGCGCTACGGCTTCTATTTTGGCCGGGTCAAGTCGAAGACCCTCGTGACTGACGACGTGGCCTAGGAAGCTGAGTTCGTTAAAACTAAAATGACATTTTTCTGGTTTTAAAGTAAGACCGGCCGAACGTACGGCTTGGAGGACGGTGAATAAACGGCTGGCTGAGATGTTCCTCGAATGTTGCTGAGAGTACAATAACATCGTCCAGATAGACCAAGCATGTTTGCCACTTCAGGCCTGATAGTACGGTGTCCATGAGACGCTGAAAAGTGGCTGGCGCCGAGCACAGCCCAAAAAAATTGCCCGCAGCTTCCCTCGGGGGAACACTGAGGAGGATGCGGACCATATAATTGGTTAACGGGGTGTTAAAGTGCGACTTACTTGGGTTGATGGCTAAATTGGTTAACGTGGTTGTGAAATGGGGTGTTAAATTGCGACTTACTTGGGTCGATGGCTAAATTGGTTAACGTGGTTGTAGGAGGGGGTGTTAAATGAGTGAACACGTACACACGTATGCGAAAGGGCGGCGCTGGTCGAAGGGACGTCGATCATTGTGTTTGTGGATTCGTTGGAATTCATTTCACCGCGACCTTGGACGTCGACGCGCCGTACAAACCAACCGACGAGCGGCAACTGAGCGAGCGAGCGCCGACCTTGAGTATATATACAGCACGACGGCGCATGCACTGTCAGCTGTTGAATGTTCTCGAAGCGCGACGCCACATGCGCGTCCACTGGAGAATCAGGAGAATTGTAGATGTCAAACGCGTGTGTGTAGAGGAGGAAGGGTGCACAGATGGTGGAGGAGTGAAGCGCGCGCGGTGTGTAGAGGAGGAAGGGATGCACAGATGGTGGAAGAGTGGGCGACGGCGTGACGGCGCATGCGCGCGCGTCAGCTGTCGAATGTTCGAGAAGCGGTGCGGACGGCGCACTACAAGGCGCGAGTATAAGATGCTCCGCATCTAAAAGGAAGCACCTTAAATTTGTATAGGCCGCCGGGCGTCACGAAGGCCGTTTTTTCACAATCTCTCTCGTCGACTTCTATCTGCCAGTAGCCGCTTCGGAGGTCAATTGAAGAGAAATAGCGCGCATGACGCAGCAGATCGAGTGAATCGTTTATGCGGGGCAGTGGATAGACGTCATTCTTTGTGACTTGGTTCAACTTGCGATAATCAATACAGAAGCGCAAGCTGCCGTCTTTTTTCTTGACCAAAACCATGGGGGACGCCCGAGGACTTTTCGAAGGCTGTATGACGTCATCAGCGAGCATCTTGTGTACTTGCTTCTGATGCTCCTCGCACTCTTTCGGAGCCACACGTTAGGGGTTTTGCCGAATCGGTCGCGTGTTGTCGTCAGTAATGATGCGATGCTTGGTCAATGGTGTTTGCTGGACCTTTGACGTACGCGAAAAGCAGTCTTCGAATTGGTGTATAAGTTCAAGCAGGCGCTTCCTATCAGAGGGCGGTAGCGTAGAGCAGATATCCACCGTCAATGTTGTTGAGGCGGGGACAGCCGTGTCATCTGGTTGCAAGGTAAAACAATTCCCGGCTTGGTCTACATCGTCGTAGTCGGCAAATTCGGCATCCTTCTGGATTTGACGGCGCTCGTTGCTGAAGTTTGTGAGGAGCACTTCTGCCTGTCCACCAGTAAGCGTCAGGACGCCCCTCGCAATGGAAATGCCTTGCGTGAACAAAAGAGCGACTATGTGCTCCGCTATCACATCTTTATAGCATGGACACCCACTGGACACTGACACAAGGCAGCGGGATCTCGGTGGGAGTGTCACATCTTCGGCTATTCGCAAACGGCTGCGTGGTTCTTCACGGCTGCTGCCGGCATAAGGATGTGCGCAAAACGTTGAGGTGTGTTGATAACAGCGCCATGATCTTGAAGAAAATCCATACCCAAAATTAACTCGTTACAGCAGTCTGGCAACAGGACGAAAGTGGCCACGAAGCTAAAATCGTCGATGCGAAGTCTAGTGGTGCATTTACCCGTGGGTGTCATCAGCTGACCACCAGCAATCCTTATGTGCGGCCCTGTCCGCGGTGTCTTGACCTTTCTAAGGCGGTCGGCGAGCTCTTGTCGAATGATTGAGAAGTTGGCGCCAGTGTCGACCAGTGCTGTAACGTGATGTCCGTCAATGAGAACGCTCATATTGACACGTACAACTTCATCGGCATTAATATTCGTCGTCGTATTCATCGTCGTTGTCGTCATACCTTCTTGCGATGATTGGGAGAACGTTTTAGTGTCTCGACGATTGGCAACCTTGTCCCCCGAGGTCGCATCAGTTAGTTTCCTCGGCGCGGTCTAGGTGAACGGCCTCTGGTGACGTCCGCGTAGCTCTGAGGGAAGCCACGGGGACGCGCAGGTGATGGAGATTGGCAGCGACGCGGTGGGGTTGCTTGGGCAGGCGATAGTTGATCGGCATCGTGGGCACGACGGTCTTCGGAGCGGAAAGAAGCGGGACGAGAAAAGTTCCCGAGCCCAGAATTACCATGACGGCAATAGCGGGCAATGTGACCGGGTTCTCTGCAGCGGTAGCAAATAGGTCGACGGTCGGCCATGCGCCACAAGTCAGTTCGGCGCACTGGTGGTCGTCTCGTAGAATCCCGTTGCACCATGGTGCGGCAGCGGGTCGTGGCTGGAAGGGCGTCGCCACAAATGTCGGTGGAGGGCGACGGACCACATCAGCGTAGCTCGCTGGATGTGGCTCAGGACTTGGCGTGGGTGGTGTTATGGCTTGCCTCAACTCCTCGCGGACGATTTCGGCAACAGATGCGACTGGCGAAATAGGCAGGGGGAACGCAGAGGGCACGAAGTTCATCACGCAGTATTTCCCTAATCATTTGTCACAGGGAACTTTCGCATACGGCAGTGTTTTGAGCTTCAGCAATTACTGCCGAGTGGTTCTGCAGGCGGTCAAAGTGTCGGCGCCGTTGTTGCAGTACGTGCTCGACGACTGTCGCCTCTCTTATGAATTCTTCTACTGTTGTAGTTGGATTTCGTACGAGGCCCGGAAACACCTGTTTCCTTAACACCCTGCATTAGGTGACGCACCTTCTTCGCCTCGGGCATGCCAGGTTAAGCTCGTCGAAACAGACGGATCATGCCCTCTGCGTACATGGCGGCTGTTTTATTGGGTTATGCATGCGGGCCTCAATCGCTGTGCGCGAGCCCGTCGGTTCGAGTTCAAAAATGTAGCGAGGAGCTTTCGACGAAAGTCTTCCCGAGATTGGTATGTAGCCTCGCGGTTCTCATACCACGTGCCAGCGCTATCTTCCAGTGCGAAATATGCACGGCGAAGTTTGTGCTGTTCGCTCCAATGGTTAGATACAGCGACCCATTCGAACTGTTCGAGCCAGTCCTCGACATCCTCCTACTCTTCCCCATAAAAAGCTTCAGGAACGCGAGGATGTTCAAGAGTTACTTGCGAGGGAAGAGTGTTCTGTGGTGGCGGGATAACCATGGGATATCGTAGGAGCTGCCATGCTGGAAAGAGGCGGAACAGGTGCGGACTCTGGACTTAGGCCTGGTAGGCGCCGGCTGAATCGGTGCACTGGAGTCGTGATGAGGGGCAGAGTCTTTGGACTAGGTGAAAGGGTCCGAGCAAGACTGTCCTGCATCAGGTTGTAGGCTCCAGCACCTCCTCCAGTGTCACGACGTCAAAACAGAGGTCTTGCCGCAGTAATTCAGGACACCAGAAGCAGGTAGGTTCTTTTAATAGAATGCGCAAGAGAGTTCTTATTTTCATCCATTTCATTGTACTTCATGACACATGCACAACTGTCATTGTCTTTCTTTTTGACAAGCGCGTGACAACATTAGTCTGTTATACATTTTTTGTGACATAACATCTGTGTCTCGCATCCACAAATCTTCGCTTGACGAACGCGAATTCCCTAAGTAACGTTGCTCTGGAAATAAATCCTGTACGCAAGCAATCACGTCGCACATGCATTGTCATGCTTTTAACTGCTAACGGAATGCCCCTGTAGGTCCGGCAGATATAACAAATGATGTAAGCATTGTCTGAGTGAGTGCAACCCCCGGTAAGAGTAACCGCGGTTAGGCTGCCCGTGTAATGAGGAACCAGGCTGCTACGTCAATATTTTGCGTGGATAAGACGCTGGGGCGCTGTTTTACTGTCTGTGAAGTCTTCCTTAATTGAGTCACACGTGCCCTCCTATGGCACTTTACAATTCAACGCTGCCCAAGTTTTTTCTAACAACACATGCAAAAAACACATACCGTTAGCGACGTAGCTGCCATTCGTGTTGTCTTCAGATTTCTTGAAATAGGGCAGGACCTCGTCGTAAGACCATCCCGTGGCGCCGCCTGCAGCCCAGGTATCATAGTCGCGCCGGTTACCTCGGTTGTAGATCATAAAGTTAAGCACGCTGCTGCCACCCAGAACTTTACCCTGGGTCCATACAGGTTTCTGCGTGCATTGGATAAAAGGCAGAGTGCAGGCTCAGTCAGTCCTAATAGAGAACAAGTGAATTAAGTGCATGCATGCTTACAGATTTCCTTCAGCGCCTTTATCCGGTACAATATTATAGTAAGTTATCCTCTGTATTGGTCGTGTAAGGTTTACACACCTGAGCGTATGTGTTGAGGTAGCTGTGCTTGAGTGCGCACATCTGACAATGATGGTGGGTACGGAAGTTCTTCCATGTTTCACCAAACTTCTTTGTTGTTCGCGTCATCGTTGTTGCTGTTGTGGCAGTTAGTAGTAATCACCGCAGTAGTAGTAATAGTAGTAGCAGTTGTTTCCGTTTTGTAGCTCTTAACTAACCGAAAGTCGCTGGCGAGTCATGGTAACACCACGACTATAAACCTGTCAGTGTGACCTGTTTAAAAATATTTCTTTAAGCTCATCATCAAAATTAAAAAAAAGGATATGAACTTGAAAAGAAAACTAGGCAGTACAAATGCCGGCTATCAATTGAAAGGGCGCACAGAGGCAAAACAAAACAAGGCTACCCCAAAAAGTATCCGCGTTTTTTATATGTTTTATATTCTGACTCCAAGCTGCGGCTCTGTGAGCTATGATTATGAACTATTTTGTGATATCGCTCTCACTGAACCAACCTTTCTGCGACATATTGCAGTCATTTGCATGGGCCAGGGGTTACAAGGCGTGAACAGCCCCCTCTCTCAGCCACACCAGCCCCTGCCACTTGGGATCCCCTTTACTGCGATACTACACGAGCTTGCGCCCTCAATGCAGAATCCTGCAGACGCCCTTGCCTACAGTCCGAGCATTATTATCTGAAATTTGGTAATTTCATACCAGTTTACATTTCTAGTAGATGCTATCAACAGTCGATTGACTCTCAAAGCAGCAAATATAACAGCAGCCCTGCAGTAATCATCTCATGCAATGTTTTCGAATGCCAAAACGCCATTATTCAGTGATTATGTTCACTGTCACTTGTGATCCACTGCAGAAAAAAATATCCTAAGATGGTTAGGATAGTTGTCAGAGGCACATAGCAGTGCTCCTGCATGGCGCATCACTCAATCACCACAGAGAAAAAAATGTAATTGTTTGTAAAACGCTCTGTTAAGAGAAGCAGAATGAGGATTATTTGCCACGAACACGATCACTACACAGACGTTGTGTGGCGTGTTCGAAATTCCACTTAGTTTCAGGACGAGAGCTGCATGGTCGATGTGACCCTGCGACGGTTCGGAAACTGTATCTGCATACTTGTAGATGCTAGAGAAAGGCAAGTTTATTGAAACAAAAAACAAACTCCCCAACTAATTATTCATCGTATAACTAAAATCACAGATGACGAGCCAGAATATATATATACACAGTTTCACTTTATCACTAGCAATGTGGTCGGTGCCATCGACGTGCTCGTTGGCCATCCGGGAGCCCTGTCGATTGGGCCGCTACTAAAACAAGTTTGCCGTTGCACTCGAAAACATTCGGTGCAGGCGTTAGTTGACCCTCGCAAGGCTGTTCGTTAGACAGAGTTCTCACCTTGAGCAGATGATCCGTGTACGCAGCAGCGAATTCTGCAGTGCTATTGATAGCATAGTTTCCGCTCTTACGTAGGTTCCACGCGTGAGGGCTTCACTTCAAGATACCGTGGCAAATGGCACGCTCTTGTGTGCGACGCAATGGCGTAGCTGAATGATAGACCAATGGGGGCATTTACCGTTTCTCGTGGCGAGTGGTTTTTCGTTTTGCCTAGTCATATACAGCTTTCGTTGTGAAAGGCTAACACAATTTTCTTAAACACAAATATAAAAGCACGCTCTAAAGTTAGCATTTAAGAAAGGGAAAATCAAACGCTTTCTTAATGAGAACTAGTTTTGCAGGAAATGATGTAGTCTGAATTCAACAGTAATGGACCAGCAGTACATGTAGTACTTTGTGTACCCATGTTATGTACATGTGTACACTTCATTTGGCGGTTCTCGATAAAAAACCTCTGATTTGATTTCTTCAGTAACAAAACGGGTGAATTGATTTTTGATGTAACCCAATAATGAATGCGAAACATTGTAAGATAAATACACAATTGTGTATTTATATAATAGATAAATACACATTTGTGTCACATATCCACTCATTGAGTGGATATGTGACACAATTTATTGCTTGTTGAACGTTAATTGCACGCGTTTTTTCTATTCAGGTTTGTGAAGTCAGCCATTGCCATACCATGACCCTTAACTGATAACCTATAGCACATTAACAGTAGTAAACTGTAGCGAGACTACTGAAGTAGGGTGAGCTGGACAAACAGGAGCTACTTGTTCTATGTGGACACTCCATTCCTGATGAGGACATCCTGTTACATTAGCGAAGTCCAAAGTTTGCACTTGATGTGTCCACGTCCTGATGGATAAGCTTGCGTTTTGCCGGCAGATGCCAAAAAAATGTAGAAAAATAGTGCCGCTCGAGGTACTCGTTGGAATTCGTTGATGCAGTGTTTCGGACAAGGCATGGTTGCTAGAAGCCTGCTAGTGATCGACATTTTTTATTTTTTAGGGGCGAAGCTCCTTAGGGCGTGGGCTGTGCGTCCCCTGTAGCCTGTATGTAGCCACCTCTAGTTTAGTTCTTGCAGTGTTCACAAGATGGCGGTACTGTCCCCTGTATGTTCAGTTCAGTTCGGGCTGTCAAGGTGGATGGACGTGTTTTTTGAGCGCTCCGGATCGACTGCGCAGATAAGTGTTTTTGCATGTTTTGAGCTTGTCTTTATAATTATAAGGCAGTGGTTGAAATCTTCGTAGCACTTATTTTATGGTACGGCTTTTTCGGGGGCCAGTCACCAGGTATTTATTAGTTAGTGCGGGTGTGTGTGTTTGAATTTTTTTGTTGTTTTTTTTTCTTTTGCCACCCCGTGGGGGAGGTGCGCGTACATTGAACACGCAAATTTTTGTAGTAGAACTTGGACTTTTTTTTTCTCGTAGCGCAGGGCTCGAGTTTAGTAATTATCGAGTATAGGGACAATTGGTGTCAGAAAGACATGGTTAAAAAGACTGTAAAGTGTTCTGGATGTGGAGTTGGTTTGAAAGTGGACCCAAGCGTAGAAGCGGATGGAGAAGAGGCTGACGCGAAGTGCAAGCAATGTGAGGTCGAGGAAAAAATGGAGAAAATGATGGTTGCCCAGAGTGAACTGCTGATGAGAATCGCCAAGCTCGAGACTGAGTTGGCGACAGAGCAAGAGAAAACGAGGGCAATGGGAGAAAGACTGAAGTCCGCCGAGGAAGCGCTAGCGAAGCTGAAAAAAGAAGCGACCTACCGAGAGAACAGTAGGGAACCGGCAACCAGGACGGTGGAGAAACAGAAGCAAGCAAGTTAGGAAAAAACAGGTTTAGCCGGTTCAACTGTCGCAAGGCCCAGCTTCAGCGAGGTAGTGGTGGGGCAGGGAGGGAACAAAGCAGCCGGCGACACAGGTGCAAGTAGCCCCCAGGTGCAGAACGCTCCAGCTGAAAAGTCGTTGCATGTAATAATCACCGGGGACTCGAATTTAAATCGATCCACGGAAGCCATCAAAGAGAGGATAAGAGGTGACAAGAGGGTTGCAGTAGGGGCGTTCCCAGGACGCAAGCTGGAAGCAGTCATGAGGCAAGCGAGCGCAAAGCTCAAAACGACAGCTGATAGACGAAACCTAGTGATAATTTCAGGTAGTTTAAACGATGTCTTAAATGGAGATGCAGCAGGACTAGCATCCACACTGGCGAAAGGCGTCGATGACATGCGCGCCACTTCTCCTAAGGTACAGGTTGTGATATGCACGATACCGGAGGTACCGGTGCGTGATAGCAACCTTCAAAGAGCGGTGGTCAACGCAAACCAAGAGATATGGCGGATGAGTCGAGAGAAAGGCTTTGAGGTGGTGGAAATAAACAGAGAGGTGCATAGGTGGGGGGGGTTTCAACGAGACAGAATTCACTTCGATGGGCGGCTAGGTCATGAGGTGGGTTGGCGACTTGCAGGACGCGCAGTAGCTTTTTAGGGGGGCAAGCGAGCCCTTCGGGGTGCAGGATAGCTAGTAACGAGGAAAACAACCAGGGAGACTCTTCAACAGGTGGTATGGACAGGTACGATTCCAAAGTGGCACCAATATCTAAGATAGGTAGAGTCCAGGGCATAAATAGACATAGCCACGAGCGCCGAGTCAATTCAGACATAGGGTATATTAACATGCAGGGAGGTAGGAACAGGCTGAAGTGGGAAGAGATAGAAGAACAGCTAAGGGAAGAGAGGCCGATGGTATACGGTTTTGTAGAAACACATCTCAGGGACATGGCACAACCTCCGAACAATCTGAACTACGCGTGGGAATATTGTAATAGAACAGAAGGCAGCAGAAAGGGGGGTGGTATTGGGGCATTGATTCATAAAAGTACAGACTGGCAAAAGGTCAAGCAGGAGTTCAAGGAATATTTATGGCTAAAAGGAAAAGCCGCAGGTCAAATGACACTCCTTGGTTTCGTGTACTTGTGGACGGGAGCAAAGGCCAGAGAGAAAAACCAGACAATGGTAGAGTGTATATCAAAGGACATTCAGGAGTTAGGAAGAGAGTGCGAGATAATTATACTAGGAGACATGAATGCGCACATAGAAGATATAGATGGGTATACCGACCCGACAGGCAATATGATCATGGATATGTGTGAAAGGCTTGATTTGATCATTTGCAACAGTACCGAGAAGTGTGAAGGGCAAATAACATGGGAGGTAGGAAGGCTTCAGTCGACGATAGATTATGCACTGATGTCACAAAGGATGTATGATAAGCTCAGGAGAATGCACATAGATGAAGGTGGCTCCAGAAGTCTGGGTAGCGATCACAAACGTATCAAGCTAAGTTTTGGAAGAGGAGTGAAAGTGGGAAGGAGACAAGATGAGCAACTACAGGAAAATTTTTATCCAGAAAGGCAAATTGAAATAGCCACTAAACAAATTGA